AAAAGCCACAAAACATTGATATTTTAGCATTGTAAATTACAAAACTCTTAAACTAAAAAAACTTATGTTGGCTTCCCCAATTTCATTTCTACTATTTAACTATATTTCTACTAATTAACTAATATATATATATATATATATATATATATATATATATACATTCAAGAATGCATTGTTACGACTCTTGAATTGGCAATTTATGTACTTGTTAAATTTTAATTTCCCTTTGGAATAAATTATATTTTATTTGAGTTCAGAAGATGTGCCCTTTAAGTTTCATGATGAAATTTAAAGGCTTAAAGAAAATGCCTCACTATCTATGTGTCAATACTTGAAATATAAGTTGTGAATTTAAATAAATGCATATGTAAGCTTTCCATATATAAATCTCAACTTTTATGGGTGGATTGAGTCAATATTTTACATAAAAACTGAGGATTAGTTTACTTACCTTGTTGGAAAATCAAAATCAGAGGGTTGGAAAAATTCCAAAGATTACTTTTTCAAAACGATTTCTTTCAGACTGCTAGCTAACTTTTCACGATCGGTTGAAATTACACTTGCTACTCCACAAAAACAAGGGAAGGTGGGGGAGGGGGAATCAGTACAGTGTAGGTGGAGCCAAGCTTACGTAGCCACAACTACGTAAAAGTTGCCGAAACATTTTGTATTTTTAAAAGTACTTGAAACCCATGCACATACATTTTGTGTCATAATTGTATTAAATGAAACTCGTTGGGTTTAAAATATATTTACTAAATATTAAGTAGGCTACATTACCTGGATGAACTTTGTTCAACCAATGAAGCTGCCGTGCACTTCCGGTTTTACTAGGCCAAAAAATTTATTTGCTCAAACAGCTAGCATGTTAGCTATAGATTTTCACAAAATCCTTTTTAAAATGCATAATCAGAAGACGTCAACAATGCCAATAATTGTTGATGTTCAGATCACCTCCAAAACCAAAGCACAGTTGAACAGTCATACAGCTTATACACATTACATATGTCCTCTATTGACAGGATTCAATTATTGGAGAGAGCTATATTGGTGAAAAAAATTACTATGTAAATACATTTATTAAAATGAGACATTTTGTTCTTTTTCTAAAGCTTTATTGAAGTTCAAACAAAGAAAGGTACATTGTACAACAGCTGAAAATCTGCAGAACTTAACTGACACAATGACATAAGAAATTTATGACAGCATGCTTTGTGGTTATGTCCAACGCAGGCCACAGTCATCTATTGAGGTGTAGTCAGTTGTAATCTGAAAGAAAATATCTCCTAAGGGACAGCCGCAAAACCTAGCACTACCGGGTGACTATTTTGGTTTGTTTTGGTGCGTAATGGGGGGATGGTGACGTAATCGGCCAAAATTATAACTTTTAATATCTCAACAACGAAAGCTGCACAAACGAAAATTTTAACGGCACAAACCTGCACTAACCAAGCACTAAAAACGTAGCCCACTTTGGTTTGTTTTGGTGTATGGGGGGGGGGGTGGTGACGTCATCGGCCAAAATTATAACTTTTAATATCTCAACAACGAAAGCTGCACAACGACAATTTTAACGGCACAAACCTGCACTAACCGAGCACTAACGAACCAGCCCACTTTGGTTTGTTTTGGAGCGATATGGGGGATGGTGAACTCTGATGACCTAAAAAAATAACTTTTAATATCTCAACAATGAAAGCTGCACAAACGAAATTTTAACGGCACAAACCTGCACTAACCGAGCACTAAAAAAGTAGCCCACTTTGGTTTGTTTTGGTGCGTAATGGGGGGATGGTGACGTAATCGGCCAAAATTATAACTTTTAATATCTCAACAACGAAAGCTGCACAAACGAAAATTTTAACGGCACAAACCTGCACTAACCAAGCACTAAAAAAGTAGCCCACTTTGGTTTGTTTTGGTGCTGTATGGGGGGGGGGGGGTGACGTCATCGGCCAAAATTATAACTTTTAATATCTCAACAACGAAAGCTGCACAAACGACAATTTTAACGGCACAAACCTGCACTAACCGAGCACTAACGAACCAGCCCACTTTGGTTTGTTTTGGAGCGATATGGGGGGATGGTGAACTCTGATGACCTAAAAAAATAACTTTTAATATCTCAACAATGAAAGCTGCACAAACGACAATTTTAACGGCACAAACCTGCACTAACCGAGCACTAAAAAAGTAGCCCACTTTGGTTTGTTTTGGTGCGTAATGGGGGGATGGTTACGTAATCGGCCAAAATTATAAATTTTAATATCTCAACAACGAAAGCTGCACAAACGAAAAGTTTAACGGCACAAACCTGCACTAACCGAGCACTAAAAAAGTAGCCCACTTTGGTTTGTTTTGGAGCTATATGGGGGGATGGTTACGTAATCGGCCAAATTATAACTTTTAATATCTCAACAATGAAAGCTGCACAAACGACAATTTTAACGGCACAAACCTGCACTAACCGAGCACTAACGAACCAGCCCACTTTGGTTTGTTTTGGAGCTATATGGGGGGATGGTGAACTCTGATGACCTAAAAAAATAATTTTTAATATCTCGGAAACCAAAGCTGCACAAACGAAAATTTTAACGGCACAAACCTGCACTAACGGCACTAACCAATCAGACTATCTGCTGGATTTTATGACGTAGGTGGGGTGTCAGCTTCACGTAGGTTCGCAACCGGGGGGATCAGGAGCATTGAATGCCGGGAGCGCGCCCAGTTTCCGAGCGTCGGGAGCGCGCTCCCCTTCACAGGTTCACTCTGAGATTTTCACTAGAGAGCGCGAAGCTTTCAGGAAATCAGCTCTACTAGACGATTTGATCTGTGTTTTTCTCTCTCCTCCCCAGACAAAACAAGCAGAAATACTGAATTAGTAGAAAACTTCACACTTTTAACATTTTAGATTTTAGATGAAAGCTACAAAGAATGTCTAAAAAATACACATAGAGAAATTCTAACCCGCCTAAAACAAGAGGTCAGATTGTTAATTATAGAAAATCTGTATATTATTGATTTATTCAATAGACTCTTGGTTCACATGCACAACAAATAAAAATAAATATAAACGTGTTTTTCAGCCAAACTGGCTGAGTCAACTTGGTTCAGATGCCGCCATAAATGATCAAACCCGAATTATGAGCCCAGTCCCGCCAGAAAACCCAGTCAGACCAGAACCAACATAACATCAGAGGGCAGAAGCAAGACAATAACAGGTCATCATGCTCAAAGGATGTTATAATGTGCTCAGTTAAAATGAAGCAGAATGAACTCAATGAAAAACTACACTGGAAAAACACAAAATACAAGCAGAATATAGTATTTCATAGATTCAGGAGAGGTTAATATTGTGTGTATGGAAACTAATCAGATGGGGAAAAAAAAAAATAAAACTGGAATCCAAACAGATTATTAACAGTTAATGGTTTCAGGGTTACTCTAGTCAAATTCTTAATACTTTGCGTTTTATGACTGCAATTGAAAATTAAAGTTTACGTCGAGCTGTGCTTTTAATGTCCACAAACAATGTCAATGGAAAAAAAAAGACTACACCAATGAATCTTTATGCGACAGAGTGGCGACCTGACCGGGGTGACCCCACCAATCGCCCAGACCCCACTGAGGACAAGGGAGTTAGAAAATGGACAGATGAATGCATGGATGAATCTTTAACAAATTCAGACATTCCTTAATATTTTAGTAAGACATCCCACCTTATAAATACTTTGGATTGCTGGCTGTAGTAACAGAAAGATGTTCAACAGTATGAAAAACAACACAATGTCTGACTTGTTCGTGTGGGCTAGAAAACTTTCCACTTTGCACGTCATATGAGTGGCTGAAAACCCACAGAGGCATCTGAATTTACCCCCGCTTCTTCCCCCTCTCACACTAATCTGAAACTACGAGGGTTTTCTCAAACACACCCACTCACACACACAGAGAAATTACATTTCATTTTCTGTAATCTAAGTTGCAATAACTTTGAAATTATGCCAATCTTACAATTCATTTGTTTTTATGAAGGCTGTGTATGACAATGGAGAAACGTACATCACGCCTTAAATCTCAAGGGATAAAAAAATAAATTAATTAACAGCAATCAACTTTGCATGTGTGAAAGGACAAAGTACGTTTGACCTCATAAAGGTCTTTCCTTTGAGAAAACCCTTTTTCAACCACAAACAACAATGCCCTGGATTTCCCCTACAGGGAAGATCACAGCCACTGTGATTATTTAATGCTACTCTAATGTACCGTCAGTGAAGTGACAGCAGGGTTCATTGTAGTTTCCCCTGACCATGTTTACTCTCTTTTCAGGGAAAACACATGGTAAAAAAAAAAACAAAAAAAAAAAAAACACAATAAACACAAACAAAACATGACATCAGATACAGTCCTGATGAAAGTATTCATAGCCATTAAACATGTCTGTATTTGACTTTTTCTTCAACTACAAGCTAAAATATCAGGATTTTAAGTGGCAGCCCGACATGGAGCTAAAATACAATATTTTAAAAAATAGTAATAAAGACACATATATATGCTTTTTTCTCTGAATCCCCCTTTACTTTCCTGGCGAATCACACAAAATCCCAGTAAAGCATACTAAACATTGTTTTTCTAATGGGGTATGAAAATGCTTTTAATACGCCATCATGGTCACCAGGAATACAGTGATTCATTCAAACAGCTTGCAATGAGATTTGTTTTTACAACCATTGCATTAACTTAATGATACATGGAGCTATTAAATTAGAACAATTGAAACTTAATTCTCTTTCATATAAACCGCAAAATTTTAATCAGGCCTCAATTTCGATTTTAAGAGATGACCAAGGGGTTGCTGTATCCATCTCATTTCTACTTCCTGGTTGATTTACTGGAAGCGACGGACTTCCTCTTCCAGAATAATGCGTCTTCTATAAAAACTAAACACTTTAAATGTCAAAGCACTTATAAAATAGTTTAAAAAAAATACTGTACACAGATGATCACAAATCAGGATTTACTAAATACAATTATGAAAACAGACATGAACAAAAAAATAAATGTATTAAATCTGTGCCCCTTATCATAAACTCTAGAATACCAGAATATATGTAAATGCACTCAGAGGCAAAATGTTTGGATTCTCCAGAGCTTCTCTGGTAGAAGGGAAAACAGGAAATGCAACCAATAAAACACTCCAGCTGCTGACAGAGCATTTGTTTTGTTTCGTGCCCACAGTCTATCACTATGGCAGCCTATTAAAAATACAATAACACAAACGGCATTAATGAGGTTTGCATTGAACTGCATCACCGAGGCAGCAAACACACACCCTCACACAAACACAATGATTAAAAACCATTCATCGGAGCCTCATCCTGCATCTCTCTTTAAATTGAGATTCACATTCTACTGAAAGTCTCTGACTGCTTCCTTTTACATGATGAAAGCCATCCACAGATAGAAGCTCCACCACACAATTCATCAGTGGCAGTGATTGCCAGAGACGCTGCATGTGGACTTGAGAGGTGAAAAGACTGCACATCAATGTCACAGTGTGGATGGTCTGGTCGGACCGGCCCCCAGAGCATCTGAAGAATTCACTCCGCCGAGGCTGTGAGAACAAAGAAATATCATCAAACTGTGAGGAAGAGTTTAAAGAATTAAAGCTGTTTACACAACTCGCCTCTCTATGATGCTGTTGTTACACTGTAGTTCTCTGACCAGAAGCTCCATTTCATCCCTCAGATGATGCATCCTGCAACAAAAGCAACACATGAAATCAGGCCACTCGGACTTTGTATCTACAGCTACACAAGCTGGCATCAAGTTATTAAGCTCTATTACTGCAAGTTCACCTCAAACCACCACAATAACAAGATGGCACATCCTTGAGACAAGACCAGTTGGTCCCACTGATGAATTACAACAGGTTTAAACTTAAACCCACCTGAAGACCATCTGAGACTTGTCCCTGGGTGTGATTTCAGGCTGCTGTTCAGCTCTACCAAACTGAGGAGAGCTAAGGATTCTGTTCATAGTCTGTGGAAGAGACACACGAGATGAAACAACTTCAGAGATGCCAAACATCCTCAACGTGAAAAAACAAAACAAAATAAAGAATCCAAAGTACAAGAGCAGATGTTCATGAACAAAGAGAAAGGTTTGACCTTCCCAAAGACAGAAAGCAGAGCTTCTAACAGAACAAAAAATCTGAAAGTCATAAAAACTCATGTTGACCTTATTCTGCTGCTGCTCGCTAATATCCAGGTCTCCCAGTAAGCCAGCAGAGAAAGAAGTGAAGTCCTGCAGTCGTGTCTGCATGTCCAGCAAAATGCTGCAAATATGAATGAAAGCAGAAATGTTTAACTCACGACTATTATAAATTATTACAACCACCTACAATACAGAGGTGGGACTGGATACTATAAAACCCACTTGTGTTTGTTTTTGTAATGCAGAGAGATAATTAACGCAGAAAAGTCGCCAATAAAGATTATTCCAGTGTCTCAACTACAGTAACATTATGAAGCTGAATATATGTTTGAATAACTCCTTAAAACTCTCTTTAAATACATTAAATTTCCCCAATATGTTACTATAAAACAGTTCCTTTGTGTACATTTCCTCCCAGTTTTGAGTTTTGCACTTCAATTTGTGAAGACATTTAAGAAAGACACTATTATCACTTCTATTTCATGATTTCTGTGTTACGGTAAGTTCTGCTAAATATATGCATTTATTTTAGGAATGGGCAGCAGTATCATTGATCATGGAAATAGTGACTATAATAAGAATTTAAATTTATCATCAATAAAATTACAATTTAATTTTATTGATGTCTCCCATGAAGATTTAGGTTGTGCATTTTGCACAGTTACATTTTCCTACTTTTGGCTTCATGGGATCATCTACAAATATCAATATATTTGAAAAAAAATTATTGAATGAAATTATTTTGTGCTCTTGAGTGTTACAAAACGGGTTTGCTGAAGTCGCCTATTTAATGATAGGCAGGGAAAGGTTTTATCAGCATTTCTGATGTTCTGATTCGAAGCAGTTTCCAAAAATACTGCAGCGTTTTTAAATACCTTTTAACCTCCATTTTTTTTAATCACAATAACTTAAACACAAACTTTCTTGCACAAATACAAGAATAAAAGTTCCTGTATTTGGGTGCGGGGTAATGACTCTAGATCGGGAAATTTATGGGAAAATACTAATACTGGAACACGCTGGGACGGAGTAGTTTCCTGGCCAAAACCGGAAACTTTTTGAACTATAGGCTCAGATCAGTAAAAAGTGAGACAGAAAAGCATGAGAAAATAAATTTTCCAATCTTATTTTATAAAATACCATTAGGTAACTAGTCTGGGAGTAATCAATATTTTCGAACTTACTGGAATAAATTTCTAATTTCTAATTATTTAAAAATAAAAATGTGAATGAATTAAACAAAACTCAAGTGTCACCTTACAAATACGATGTTTAAAAAAGTTAAAGAGGACAAGCAATGTGAAGATCTGGAATCTCTTTAAAGCAGGCTTTGATCGTGTTGCTGCTCTGACCTGCTCCACGTCCTTGTTGAGGCCAAGAGCTCTTTATACCTCTGCACACATTCGTCTCTGAAGAGAGATTTCACCCGCTTAATGTGAGACATCAGGTGGATTCTGGGAAAAAGGACAGCGGACAAGTTCAAATGCTTCCTACGCCAAGGTCTCAATCAGGTAGAAGCCAGATAAAAAAGAGTCAACTCACTTTTCAAACTTGTGTATTTGCTCATCGTTATACAGAAGTTCTGGTTAAAAAAAAGTAACAAATCAGAAGAGTCAATATTTGTGTTAATGACAAGTTTTTGCTTTTAGTTGTTCATCAAAATGTACTGAATGTTTTAAAGACAATTTACAAGGGCTAAAACTGACAGGATTAATTTATTGGGACAATGCTATGAAACAATATTTGCCGTGAATGATTGACCTGCTGTTTGACCCAGGTATATTAAGAATATGTCCTCTTCATATTAAACTACCTCTCCCATATTTAATTGTAGGTAAGCTGCTCTTTTTTCCTGAACTCTGTTGAAGTTTCTAAAAAAAAAACTCTAAACAGATGCTGACCTTCCAGTGAAGTTCCACCTTTTTCCAGTACACAGAATCTTTTGTAAAAGTTTTCAGGATCATGAAAGTTTTTGGCAAATGTGAAACAGGAAGTTATGTTTTTGTTTTTCTTCCACCAGTGGTTTTCATCTTAAACGTCACTTGTGGATTCTATTTTGGCCAAATGTCTTTCTAACTGCTGAATAATGAACTCTGACCTTAACTGTGGGAAGTGAGGCCTGTTGTGTTTTCTGTGTTGTTCTCGTTTTTTTTGTGACTTCCTGTATGATTGTCGATTCATTCTCAGAGTCATTTTAGTCATTTCGGTAGTCTAGTCACTCTTTGGGAGGTTTTCATGTCTGTTTTTTATGATGATGCTGATTTTTGCTGTGATTTGGTAAGAGTCCCATAATTTTAGAAATGCCACTGTAATCCTTTCACGTAAATATATTGTAGTGGTTTTGTTTCTTATATCTTTCTTTTTGAAATTCTTCACTTCCGGTTGTCAGTTTCTATGTAAGTAATTTCTTGGTTCAACAAGTCTGGCTGTAACCAGGCCCCTTTCTAAATAATTAACTAACAACTTTGCTATCCGAAACTGTTAAGTTGGGATTTGATGAATATAAAACCCACAGATATTTTTCTCTTAAAAAACTCATAGTTTAAAACTGAATTTTGTATTAACTCCGGTTATCTTTGATGCAGATATTCTAATGATCTGTAACAGTCGATGGGTGTTAGAAAAGCAAAAATAGAAAATGAATTGTAAAATTATTTTCACAGCATTCTATTTCCACCCAAATTAAAAATCAGAATATGTGCTTAAAATAAATCTAGTAAAACCTCAAATTAATTGAGACAAAAAATGCGTGGTGATAAAAGCCTTCATACTTCCTGTGAGTCTGTCTTTGCGATACTGGTGATGAATTGCTGTTATCTTCTCCAGCAGCATCTGCATCTTCTGACAGCTGTGGAGCAAAAAACCCCCAAAACAATAAACAATGAACAACCAAATTGCATTCTCAACAATAAATCCTAGTGAAAAAAACAACACAGCTCTCCCACAATACCCCTTATCATGAGAGAGGGTCTCGGCCAGCTTAGCCTGCTGTATCTGCAGGTGCTCCAGCTGAGTCTGAAACTCCCGGATGCCGGCAGAATAAATAGGCAGATGCTGATGAACCTGGGATGACAGCAGCAATACATTCTGTTACATAATGCAAAAAGAAACAACCTGTTTGCTGTTATTATTCACATGAATGCATTTACAATTAGTTCTATTTGATTTAAGCTATTAATGACCATCTTCCGTCTCCTGTGATACACGGACTTTCTGCTCTGCTAAAAGTAATAACTTACTTGAAGAAAAGTGAATTTAAAAATCAAACATATGACTTAATAAATCATGAAATTCTAAAATACATGACAAGGAACCAAACCAAAGAAAATGCAGGAATGAAAAACAAGCCTCCTTTCCTCACCTGATGCCCCACAATCATAAACCAAGTAAGACCAATTCATAATAGCAAACAGGAATAACAGAAAATAAAAGTGTCAATTAACATTAGATAGAAATAAACTGCAAACATGTAAAACCAAATGTTTTTAAAACGCTACGAAACCAGTGCAGAGAGGTTAAAATCTGAGTCCAGTTAGCTCTCCTCAACAAAAGTTAGTAAAAAATATTCCACCAAAAATACCTTCAGGTATTTAGCCTAGCATACAGTTCTCGTATCATTTCCATGACTCACGGTGAACAGGTAAAACTGTGTGTATTAATAATGTACAATTCAAAGTGGGGAAAACACTGCTGATGGCTAGTCTGTACTAAATCAGCCTGGGGGTAAAACAGTCCTACATTAGTCAGGCTGAACTCGGGTGTTGGTTCCTGGAGGGGCTTACCAGCTGCAGCTTTTGACTGGAGTCATCAACGGAGCCTTGATTTTCAGCTGAGTATGAAGCTCTAAAACACACACAGTTGTAGACAGAAATTAGACGAGATAATGACAGTATTGGAAATCCAACTGTATGAATCCAGAGATGTTCACATTATAGGGAACAAATCCAGACCTGAATTTTAATGCTTGTGCAAGGTTGAGAAAACTACAGCTACAACACGGTGGCTATGAGATCTGCTTCAACTAAACATACAGTTTTTGAATCCTGTGCTGTGCGCTGAGGCAGGACTGCAGTCTAATGGTGATGATTGCAATGCTGTGCATGGCCTCTGTGCACTCGTGACGCAACTTCATCCTGAGAAACAAGAGCGAGAAAGACCGGAGTAAGAAGGACAAGAAAACCTGGAGAGATAATTTATCTGTTTCTGCATGCAAAGGTCTCACATGTAGCTGTAGTAGCCCTGCAGCAGCAGCTCTCTATACGTGTGAAGCAACAGTACGATCCTCTTGTACTGGTGAACAATTCCCACTATTACCTACAAAAAGAAACAAACAGATCATCATTGTAAATTTCTAATTAAACAATGCTAAAATAAACTTGAATTTAGTGGAAAATAGTATGATTAACAGTACCTTGGAGAAATTGTAATCTGTCACTACGTCAAACTTGGATGGAACGGGAGGCGTCTCCGCTACAGAAAAAAGAAATCCAAAGAAATATGTTTCATGACATTGTTTAGGTTTTACTAATGACTCCCAACTCATGTTTTATTCTGAATGTGACTTTCTTCTTGCTGTTGGTGTAGCTCCCAGACAGATTTCATTAAATTAACAAGATGGGAGACGGCCAATAAAAACACAAAGGTCGTTTCTGTTTGCCTTACGCTCTCTGAAGGGCAGGCTGCTGTTGGTCTCCGGTGTGCTGCTCAGCAGAATGAGAGGCTGGGAAGATGAAGTGCATGGAAGGTTCACCACCTTCATGCCGCCCTCCAGAACCAGATCATGGCCCAGGTACATGAGATGTTGCTGCGGGATGCCAATGCCAGTCTGAGCTGCCACCTCTTCAAAGAACACCGACACCCTGCTTAGCACAAAGGAGACATTTTAGGTTTATCTTAGGTAAGATTTTATGAAAAGCCAAGAATTTACCCCTATGGTTTCCAAACCTTGTACATTTCACACTATAAGATACAAAAGGCAAAAATAACCCAGATTAGTGGAGCATAAAAACTGAATATTGCTTCTCCGTGTTTGTTTCTGCGGATGCAGGGCAGGCCAGAACCAGAAGGCCTGAGCGGTCAGGAAGGTTGACACGCCAACAACAGATATTTCATGTATTTTGGTGCTAATCAATTTAGTGACTTATAAACTAACAGAAGTATTTCAAAGCCTATTATCTAAGCTACAGTAAAGACCTTAGAACTGGGGTAGTGCGCTCAATTTTACTAGGTTTAGTTGCATAGCTGCAGCATTGTGGCAGAAAGCTTATCTTCTACTTCACCAGGTCTGCAGCTGTAAATCTTTGTCTGACAAAGCCGATACACAACAAAGTGGTCCAACAAACAAACAAAGTCATTAATTTGACAAAATCTTTAGAAACAAATAATTCAGTAACTTGCCAAAAACGTATGGAAGTCTGAGCCATTTTGCCAATAAAATGATGACTTAAAATCACAATGAAATACAGATACAGTTTTAGTTTGATCATGCCACATCATGCCAGTGCAGACGTACGTGTTGTAGTGATGGACGTAAATACTGTGAGCCGTGGCCTGCTGCAGGGAGAACACATAAACGGGCTGCCGCTGCAATACGTCTGTAGTGGCTGTGAAGAACTGGTCAAAACCCCAACACCTGCCTTGGTCAGCCTCCATGATGCCTGCAAGGACAGGAACTAGAAGGGCTTTCAGACCCCTGTAGACAGACACAGGTATGAATGTAAATGGGAAGAAATATGTGTACACAGGCTAAATATGTCACTAGTTAACACACTCCTATAAACTGAGGAATTACTGTGAAAGCTGGCAGCTGTAAGGTAAGTGGTAGCTCCACTCTATAGGACCACCTTCCACTCGCTGTGTGCCGGCTATTGCGCCCATGGGTTTCTCTGTGGTTATCTTGTACCTGAAGGATGAGTCAAACAAGGAAGGAAAGTGTTTCATTTCAAACTCCAGTTAGGTTTTAGGTATGAGTTAAAGCCTGCAGCTTACATGGTGAGTTTGTTTTTACGGGGTCCTTCAAAAGGTGTGAAAGGGAGACTCCCTGTGGCAGAGTGGTATAACGTCACGCCGATGCTCCACAAGTCAACGCTCACTCCGTAGGATTTCAGATGAGGCTTACGGAGCACAGCGCGCTCATACATGTCTGGGTGCTGCTCACACAGAGAGAAAATGGAGAAAAAAATTACATAAGCAATGCTTTATTTTCTCTGTTATTTAATCTGTTGTTGCCAATACAAATAATCACAATTAGGAGCATATTTCCTCATTTGACTAAAAGCAGGTCTTCAGTCAGGAGAGCCGAGACATTTTTTCATTCCACTGTGCTGCTTTTAACAGAATACAAAGAGTTGACAAAAGAAGCCGCAAATATGCCTCCTAGCTAAAAGAAGCTGCGATTAATCTATACAAGGATCTCAAAATTAATGTCATTCTGCATTTTATCACTAAATCAAAACTTTTTGTGTATTTTATTGAGATTTCTTCCTTTATCCTTTGTCCAAATGCAGCATAGTGACTTCAGAATGAGACCCAAGAACATGACATTTAGGTAGCGCAGAAGTCAGGAAATTATGGACCTCCTAAACATTTTCCATGGTAAAATTCTGTACTTTTCCAGTTTTATGTTTTTAGATTCACTTCTTGAGAAAAATGCTTGCCCTGAACTCATCTATAGGTGCACAAAATTTTACTGTTACTGGCCTCCAGTCAGGGTGTGGTACAGTGCCATTTTGTTGCGTTTTTTCACAGATGGACAAACTCTATTTCATGACATGTAACTATTTGAACTTGTTGAATAACAGTTGTCACATTCTACAAAAAAAAATGCTGATTCTGTTATGCATTTTGTCAAGTTTGGGACCTTTCAAAAAATAAATTGTGGTATTAAACTAGAAATATAAAATCCGGTGCATTATTTAAGAAATATTATTGGGATTTTACTCTTGAATTGAAGATTGCAGTGTTTTTACACTTACCCAAATTTGTAAAATTACATTAATATTTTTCTCTATTAGTAAAATTCTATATTTAAAGAGCTTCTATCTTCGTCGCCACTTTAAAGTTTTTTTTTTCTATCTTTAATTAGAGTAACTTAAATTTTTCAACTCCCTATTCTCAAAAAGAAAAAACACACTGCTGCCCAGAGCAGATAAGTTTGGTGCCAACACTAAAATCCTACCAGATATTCCTCAGTTCCATAAATGGACATAAACTTCTCGTCGTCTTCCAGTTCTCGCGCTGCTCCAAAGTCCGTCAGCTTGTAAACGGACTTGCTGTCCTCTCCAACTTGCCTCATTATATTCCCCGGCTTAATGTCCCGATGCACTACTCCGTTTTCCCGCAGATGATTCATACCCTGCACTGCAGACAAAACAAAGACGGAGGTCATACACAGGCTCACACGAAACCGTAGAGCAAAATCAAACCCATGGACCGACCTATGCACTGCAATACAGTGAGGAACTCCGCTTCAGGCAAGCCAAATGCATTTTCTGGGTCCTCAAGCAGGTTGAGCAGACTCCCTCCTGAACAATACTCCATCACCAGGACCTTCTGCTTTGTTTGCAGCTGGCAGAAAACCGACAAAGTCAGACAGCTGCACCTCTTTATAAGAAAAGTTTTAGTAGCAACTTTAAAAAAATCTATGTCAAATATTCCAGTTGTTGCAACGAGGCCTGTCACAATAGCAGATTTTGCTGGATGATAAATAGTTCCAGAAGTTATTGATAATATTGTTGTTTTAATATCATTTTCAACTAATATAATAATAACGGCATAATGATGCAGGTACACCCTCTCAAAGATCAATAAACGTGGAACTGAAAGACATTTTACGTATCCAAAATAAGTAAGCAAAGCACCCAAAACAACTGATAAAATGGATGCGGAAGTCTCTGTAAACAAAACTGTCCTTCAAACAAAAGGTTAGTTCAGCCCAATGAAGCCCTTTTGTCATCCAATCTTTGGTAGAAAGAACCAAAAAAAAACAAACTGTGATGCAAATGGAAATTATTGAGCTCGCTTTAATTTATCATGCAATCAATTGATTTATCGCTTATTGCGTCACGCTTAGTTGCAACGTGTCGTTATGTTTCTGTTTCCTCTTCCTTTGGTTCCATTACCTCCTCGACAGCAAACAGCCTCACAATGTTGCTGTGGTTGAGCTTCCTGAGCATCTCAAACTCTCTCATCTGGACATCATGGGGGCGGCTGTAGCTCAGCACGTTGAACACTTTCACCGCCACCAGCTCGCCTGATCTCTACACAAGTACGCACATTGCGGCGTAATCGTCAGCACAGATCATCACAAGAGAACGTCAGACAACCCACATCACTGAAACCACAGCCTTTCCTTATCTTTGAAGGTGCAACAGCAAAGGCTGCGTTGTATGAGATGGTGACTAAAATGACGCAGGGAAGCATTACTGATGGGAAATGGCTCTGTGGTGGTGGCTACCTTGTTGCGCGCTTTGTAGACACTGGCAGTGGCCCCCTGGCCAAGGACATCATGTACAGACCACAGGTAGTTTGCTGTGCTTCCCGTTATACCCGACATACTAAAAGAGGCAGAGAGAAGAGTCAGAAACACATGGCAAATCACAATTTGAAATATATGAGAAAAGGTGGCCATAGTAGTAGAATAACTGCATCTCAATTAATTACAACCTCATTCAAAAGTTGTTTTCAGTCCTTCAGTTCAAAAAGGAAAACACATTTTATTGATTCACTATGATTTATCTTTTATATTGTTGTCTCTGAACCAGTAGCATTTTACCCAGGCTCTGCCAAACTAAACATGACATTTGATTTGAAATTTAATTTCCAAAAGTCTGGAAGAAGTAAGAAGAGAACACGCTGCTAGACATCCAATGTGAAATTTCCACAGTAAGTGATGACTGGAAAGGGAAATGCTTTTTCAGTAGACTGGAACAAGCTGCAAACAAAAAAACAGCATGTAGAAGTTTATTTTTCTTCAAAATCCATGTGAAAACACCAGACTGTTTGCACATCTAAAGCACTCATAGGAAACTCACTCCTTTATTCTGTTTCAAGAGTGCAGTTAAAAACATTGTCCTTGTGTTCAGGAAGCCCACAGTGGGTTGGTTTCTTTACTGAACCCAATTCAGACAGACAATCTTTAACTTTTTCACCTGGATGTAAGACAATGGGAATAGGCGTGCTTAATATTTAGTTATGCATTTATTTATTTAACTTAGTTGACGCATTAATCTGTCATTTTACTGTTCTTCAAATCAGGTCACTTTTAGATGTCTGATACTTTCAGCCCTACCTGCAACAACAACACAGAAACAGAAAGTTTGTGAAGGTGACAGCAGATTCGCCTATTCTTTTACGTGTGTATAAATAAAAACTCACACAAATAAATGCGCATTTATTTGTTACTAACCTCTGCTGTAATAACGAGCTAGCTACACGGACTTTTAAAACTCGGTTCTGTAAGTTTGTTAGCATGTTAAGAAGTTGTCATGTTAGCAGCTACATGTTAGCTTACCTGGTTCCGGTTCTGCAGTTGGCCGAGCTGTTATTCATCTTCAGCGTTTTGTTGAGTCCGGGTCAGTGGCTCCAACCCGTTTCACTCAAAGCGATAAAACTGACTTGACTGGAAACAAATTACGCCGACGCGTAAAACTCGCTCCGCGGAAAAAAGTGACAGCATGACGGAGTGACGGCCGCTGTGACCCGGCGGGGGAAACGCTCGCTGGGAGCCGCAGGCCTCCTGGATTTCACACCAGGACTCAAAGTTTATTAGATTCCTGAAAGGCAGCAGCCTCTGTGCATAGCTGAGCCGTGGTGTGTGTGATGAAGGAAGTGTGTAGGCTTCAAAAAGGGGCGGACGTTTCTCTTTGGGTAATGACGGCGGAAATAACTGGGGAACTTCCGACTTCTTGCTTATTGAACCATAGCTGAGTAAATAACCAGTCTATTTACAGGCTGCTGATCACTGAGACATGCAATGAATAGGCACATGTTTCACATCACTTTTAGTGTTTGTGTTTTTCACAAGATAGTTTATACGTACAAAATCTAATATGTAGAAAATGGAGTAGATCAAACAGTATCCCTAGATTGTTTCAGTCTTGGTAATATGAACACCTAATTAATGATTCAATAAATGCTCATACTTTTCAAATTGGTCTCACTGTCTCCAGGTAAAGCTCTCTCCGAATAAGGAAAGCGTATGTACTCTAACCCAAACACATTTTCCACACAATGCTTTCTGTCACTCTAAGCACAGTTAAAAACAAAAACAAAAACAAAAAACATAGTTAAAGTCAGAAATCACACAAATTCTTAAAACCCCTATGGAAAACTGTTCATACTTTTACTGCTTCCAAAAGAGCAAAGTCAAAATCTCCATAGATTTGTTTTATTGATGTGCTGGATTGCAACTTGAAACCTAAGTTTGCAACTTGTTATTTTTGTTTGGGAAAGGAAGAGAGAAACCTTCAAACCTAAAACACAGTTACACCTGGTGGTTGCACCTTGTTTTGTTTTCATGAATCATGGAAAGAAGAGCAGAATTTTGGCATTTGGAAGAATAATTTAAATAAGGCTGCTGCAAGTCTCGTATTTGGCCAGATTTGGGGTGTCTTGTTGTCGTTCGACAAAATATCCCAAAGCACACCTCCAATTTTCTCACAAGCCTTTCTAGGTCCTGGAGTGGACCTTTAAAGGTCCACCTTCTCAGATGGACCTCTCACATGAGAGCCCAGATCTCAATCCCATTGAGAATGTATGGTGAGCGCTTAAGGTGCCACACAAACTAGATGAGCTGGAACAATTTGCAAAACCCAAGTGGGCTCTTTAACTCAAGAGACACGTCTGTAAGACATGTCACAATGTCAATAGTGAGCAATATAGTGCCAGAAACGATGGGTGTGGTTATCTTGTCTCCTTGTAGAGAGACACTTGGTTAGTGTAAGGTAGACAGCTATTTGCTTTTGTTTGCTCATTGCTTGGCTACCACAGATGCCTTTGGTTGGTTTGAATATATATATTTTTTCCTTGATCAGTAAATCAGTAGTTGAAAATTGCAATTTATGTTTACTCAGTTTATGATTGTCTTATAATTTTGCTCCTCTGAAAAATTTAAATGTGATTAAAGAAGTAAAAACAACAACAAAAATATGTGGAGAGGCAAATACTTTTTCTCAGTGGTCAATATCTACATATATGTCAATATCTACATATGTGTACTCAAATTAAAGGTTGAGTTTTCCGAAAATAAATTCCAGTGTAATATTATGCTAATGCAAAAATTTATGCTTTATTTTTCATTTTTTCACATATCTTTGCTAGAGATATCAAAGTCCTACATGAGGTGAAACCACTTTCTTGATACAAAAACCAATTGAGAGCTCTTTTTTATCCTGTTTTGAGTTAGATATGTCTAACTATATGTTACCTTCATGTTCCAGATGTGTGCGTGTTTTGTGTGTGTGTTTCAGTGGACCAACAAGTCTTATAGCAAGCCATGTTTATTAAAAAAACAGATCTACTACAAGAACTACACATAGAATTATATAAGGCCTGTTTGATTAAACTACTATTGCTATTACTGTACAATACTGTACCAAAAGTGTACCTCTGTAATGTACAACATTGTATATACAAAGTACATCTGAGCACATGATTCTCCAGTAATACAGAGACAACTATAAATAGATTTGACATTATTGTCTTTTTTTTTAGTTCTGTGATTTCTCCCACCCCCACCCCCAAAATGCACACACAAAAAATGCATACTCATCAACAATATTCAACTCCAACACATCATCCCCACACAGTTAGTCCACATGCAAGCTAAGTGCACAATGACTGATTAGAGTTCACAGAAGATCTTTTGCGTCTTTTCACAAATGCACCGACCACCCACATGCATGTTTGTACTGTACGCGTGAACAGTAATGGTTCTGCATCACACAGTCCCTCCAGTTGTGATACTGAGGTAAGAGCAACACAAATACACCAGGTATGCACAAAAACTATACAAAGATTTCAAAGAGACTTGACAGATACAGTTCATTACAGGAATGCAGACTGCGCTGTAGAGCCGGGGGAGAGGGGAAGCTGTGATCCCATGTAATATGTTTCCAAAAAACTAACATACACTGGAAAGGCATGGATTTGTGCTCTCTCTTAATGTGAGTTTCATTTTTTTTTTCACATAATGCAAATTCATTTTTGCAAAGGGTAAATAATAAGACAAAAAAAAAAGGACAGAAATGTTGTTTTTCGCATTGTCTTTTTAATGACAGCAAGCTTGTCTGCCATTGCTACAATGACTGAAGACAAAACATCAGCTATCTTAGCCGGTTTGTTCCTCGTTTATAGTGCCTTGCAAAAGTAATAGCATCCCTTAAATCTTCTCACAGTTTGTCACGCTACAACCATAAACTTGAGTGTTTTATTTCATTTTATTTTTGTAGGATTTTACATGATCGCCCAGCACAAAGTGGTGCATAACGTAAAAGGTGAATGGTATGAAAAGTTTGTTTGTACTAACATACACTTACTCTCTCATGGAGTCAACAGGGGAAATAATCCTTTAAACAGTAAAATGAACTAATCAGTCAGTTTTGGGAGTTTTGCAAACATCGTCAGTTATATTTGATGTTTATCATCATACATCAAAAGTCTACAATGTGACAAATATCCATCACTATTTTGCAGAACTGCTGTTTTTTCACCTGCAATTTATCAGGTGAAGTTGCACTCAGACTCTTTAGTAATTAGGTGACTACTGAAGTAAACTGAATGCTGCTGAGGTGTACTGGATAAAACAAATCCCATTGTTTCCTTCCTTCCACTTCACAATTATGAGCTACTTTGTGTTGAGCTGATCCTATAAGATTACATTTAAATATATAAAACATTATGGTTTTAATGTGGCAAAAAAGTGACAAAAAAAAACTAAAGGGACATAGAAATACATTTGCAGCTGTAAATGACGCATTTTCAAGATATTGAGAACTGGCGTCCCACATGTCTCCTGAATGTAGTTTTCAGTTGGCATTCATTTATGTGCAGGCCGGGGAGGTGCATAAGTATTCTCTATCCATGCATGTGCACATTTACACACATGCATACAGATAGGTATAACAGTCCATAATTTCCCCCACCCAACCAATTCTTGGCATAAACTTGGGAAAACAGAAGATGAGGTGGTTGGTTGTGCTTACATGTGCACACACTCAGGAAGATCCTCAGCTGCATGCTTCCAGTTATCAGCATGATTATTAAATAGTAAAAACACAAGATGAAGACATTTTCTTTACTTCTAAATTATGGACTTTTTGGAACTTGTGATACAGCTGGTATCCCCAGTTTGGCTAGTTGGTACTGTGAGTGGCCCCAGCATGCATGATAAAAACCTGAAAGGCGTTTAGCTGCCTCAATAGCCACGCATTAGGGGAAAATGTGTGCGCAGTCCAAAAAATACCATAAAAAGATGTTGGGTTTCAGTGGTCCCCTACACACAGACACATTTTGCTTTCATAATTTTATTGCTATGTTAGATTCAGAATTTCAGAATTGGCCATATTAGGTACATGTTTATGTTATGCAATTAAAAACACACAGATGTATTAAAACACAGAAGGAGAGGTAAATAAAGCTCTTGATTTACACTGATATTTGGCCAAGTTTTTCCTTTTTCTCATCGTTCCGAAGAGAAAATAAAAATCCCATCTGCCTCTTATGGAGCAGCAAGTCAGTGTGTTTCGGTTCTTCAAAGTGGGAGCTTGGCTTTCACAGTCTGTTCTCGTAAATCAAACACTCCCATCTGTTTCTCCACAGACAGGCTTGTCAAAAAAAAAAAAAAAAAAAAAAAAACCCTGTCATGTCTATTATACAAAAATTAAACAGTGCTTTTTGTTCTTTACACATAGAGCTCCTTTGCAAAGGCAAATAACTCTTACACCTGCACTCACCGATAATTTTATATGCAAACCCTTGCTACCCCCCAAAAAAATGTTAGTGTGTGTGTGTAGATGTTGTTCCCCTGCTGGAGGTTTTGAAATCCAGCGTTGTTCGGAGATCTCTCTGCAGAGGAACAGAAAAATCCAAGCTTCTCCTTGCAGTAAAGCAGAGCTGCCAGCAGAGGGCACACTCTTCCTGCTAAAGACAATGACACCAAAGAGGTTGCTAAGAAACTGCTACATGTGAGTAGAGGGGTTATGTGTAACGACTGAAGTGCTTTTTGCACTCGCTGAAAGAGCTGTAAGGATTGTTAAAATGAATTGAGGAAAAATTAAGCGGGACAGGATTTATCATTAGACTGGGGAGGAGGTGGAGGAGGAGGGGGCGTGTGGGTGAGTGAGTGTGTGTGGCCCACGAGTGGAGGAGGTGGTGTTGGGGGGACGATGGAGGTCGGAGAGCCCATGGCCGGGCTCCCGGTCCCTCCTCCCTTTGGGAACACCACGGGCTTCGGTCTGGTCGCTGGTGGACGCAGCTCTCTGAAGGAAGGTACGGACGAGGAGAGGGTCGACGAAGACAGGGAGGGGGACGTGGCAGACGGCAGCGGGCTCCGCGGCTGGGTCTTAGGAGGACGGAAAGATGAGGGAACGTCGCTCGCCGACGAGGCGCTGCGCTGGAGCGGGTGGACGTAAGAGGGGCCGCCCTCGCCGTCCCGCAGCAGACGGGAGTGGAGCGGGCTAGAGGGCTCGGAAGCTCCTCCTCCGCCGCTTCCGCTCATGCCCTTCAGCTGCTCCAGTGTGTCCAGCACCACGTCGGGGGTGTGCGTGTGTTTGGAGGGCGTTTGTCTTTCAAACTTACTGAGCTCGCTCAGGGCAGAGTCCTGGGTGTCCTGCAACGCAGCAGCCAGACATGAT